TCACCAATGACCCATGACACCACAACAGATTTATACGAACAGTTACAAACACAAAAACATGAAAACGAGACGCTAAAACAACAAATACACGAACTCACAGAACAAAACACCCGACAATACCAACAAATACTAACCATGACACAGAAAATCGTCGATTTGCAAAAAACAATTAAACTTTCGGACGAAAACACCACTAAATTACACCAAAAATTAGACAAATTCATCAACAAACAAATGACAGACAATATACCCCAGACAGGCACACACACACCCCCCTCATACACTCACCCCGCACACACTCACAGAGAAACGCAAAAAACACACGGCGGAATCCTCTAGCGACGACGAAGCCCCCAGACATAAAAATCACACAAAACAAACAAAACGACCACAAACACCAAACACGCGCCCCCGACACCTAAACCCTCCACAAGCGCCCTATAAAACACCCCACAAAACACACAAAGACAGACAGACAAAACCAAACAAGTCCCCCCGGTAATAATGCCAAAGCAAGAACCGTGGACGCAAGTACAAAAAATACTCACAACACTTAACATTAACTACACAAAAGCCAAACTCACTAAAGACGGTATAGCCATATACCCAAACANCATATTGGGCAAAATATTGTTTGATTACAACTGCCTCATTATCTCAGCCATTCTATAATTTGTGGAGACAAGTTACTTAGCAAGTATGTAACTTTTATGGTTGTTGTAGAGCATAAGGCAATGCAAAATTTACCAGAATCATGGGTGAAATAATTAGAAATGGCAAATTTTTCTTCAATTCTGTTAGCTACTTCCCTGATGCTAACACGGAAATGTTAAAAAAACTTGGCCACTATATTATTCAGGTACAGTAATTTCAAAGTAGTTCTGGACTCAAAATCGGACATCTGTAATATTTTAAAAAGTTTATTTAAAACACCGAGTTTTTTTATATTCTATTTTTTATTACCACAAGTAAAAATTCCATATTAATAATACAATAATTACTATTTTTTACTACCATTAAACTAAAATCTTTAACAAAGTAATTATCAAAAACATAAACCTTACTTATAGGTTAATATTAACAAGATCA